GGGGGGGGGGGAGGTGTGAGCGCTTATTTGAGCTTGGGCGTTTAAAAAGTTATTTTTGGGGGTGGAGTGGTGGGGGTGGGCGCTTATTCGAGGCTGGGCGCTTAATCGAATAAATACGGTATCATAAGTTTAACCCTAGGAACAGCCATACAAAACATTTTGCATTTTAATGAAATGTGTCAAAGAAAGGAAGCAATTGTCAAACATTACCGTTCAAACATTACTTGGTTTAAAATAATCAGCGATTACAGGCTGAGGAGAAGATAAAGGAAATGCTTTCAATCGACAAACAGGCACAGTATATACTTATTGGACTGGACATATGGCAAAATAACTACACTGTAAAGCTAGGCCGAAGGTACAATGCATAGGCCAATATTGAAAGCCAGGGAATGAAGGTTACTCAGGAATGGTAGAGACGAAAACCTGCAAGTGAAGCTAAATGGCTGGGCAAAAAAATGTCTGATTAGGCTAAAACTTGATCCCTCCCCCCGCCCCACACAAAAAGTCCAATAAAGCAACCCAACAGTCACTTTTTCTCTGTTAAAATGAGAACAACAGTGAGAAAGTTTTTGCATCCATCTTTATTTGTCATGCAGGTGTGAAAAATTGAACTTTAGGAAGACTGCTGTTGATTCTTTGCGGCCAAATAAGAATCATGAAATATCCTTTCTGATTCGCACGTAGTCTGCGTTTGTTGACATGAAAATGAGACTCGTCTTAGGTTGCTATTTTTGTCAAAATTAAAACTGCCCCCCTCACCAAAGTCCCTTATTTAAATTTTTGGCCTAAAAGTGTCGCAACTTCTGAGATCGGAAATTTCAACCACCAAAATGGGCTTTGTTTCTCCCAGTCAATATCATACCTGAGTAACCCCGGCCCTTTGGGATTAAAACTCGCGATCTTGATTAGTTTGTCATATACTTTGGCTCAAAATGGAATCGTGATCTTTTTACGTTCAACGTTTCATCGTAACATCTGTAAAATTCATGTTTTAAGGGATTTGTTCCCTCAGTCGTACGCCGCACGAGTGATGGGAGCGGTTCAGCAATCTGACGAGTAATTTTGACTTGTTCTATAACAACTCCAGGCAGTTTTGTCTAAACCCGTTAACTGTCGATAATGTTTGTCTTAGATGTTAAAATATTTGGTTTACACCTGACACTAACTCTGAAATTTGACGGAAGTAGGGTGTTAAAAGAATAACGCTGCGTAGAATAAAATATTCCTATTACAATATTCGAATAATATTATTAGAATATTCTTAGCATTCATTTGTTTCATATTTGTAGCCTTTTAACTTTCCTGTATAGTCAAAAATATTTTTATGAGTGTATTTCATTAGCATCTTTATTAAGTATCTTGTAGCCCAC